GACACAAAATTCATCTGTATTTCAAAATAAGAGCATAGTGTTAAATTTTAGGGCCTATGACATAAAGCTTGCCCTCAATAAATTCCCATGTACTTCTCGAGCTTCTAACCCACCTGTCATTAGTGCCAAACCTGCTAGAAAATTAAATCCATTCCTGGGTTTTGTTGTTTTTATTGGCAGATCCATTCAACAAACATATTTACCTGCAGTGGACTGACTGCTAACTTAGGTGCTCTGTCCAGTTTTTGATGAGAAAGAGGAAATTACAGAAGTCAGTACCTCAGTGTGTGACGAAAGTTTTGTTCTTTACCTGTATGAGAGTCGTAAAACAAAGAGCTCCAGGAAAGCTGAATAGAAGAGGAGGTCTTGGTCGTGTTTGGTTAGGGAGGTAAAGCCTGGGATCTTCTGCGCCCACCCTCGAATCACCTCCATTGATCGGGTCAGGAGGTCATAAAACTGCCGGACGTGCTGTGCATCGTCTCCCAGCGGACTTCCAGGACTCTCCTTGAACTGCAATGAAAGGTCACCAGTGGCATCAGGTAGGGATCAGAGACAATACCATTACTGCTGTATTTTGTGCTAATTGTGTGTTAGGCTAGTGGAGTAATTCTTGTAAGCTCTGATTACCTTGGAGTAGTCAAGGCGAGAGGGTGAGGGGTTTGACTCCACATGTGCCCTGATGAGGGCGCTCAGGAGGGTGCTGACAGGTGAAGACGAGTCTGAAAGAGCTTTAGGTTTGGACGGCAGACGACCTCTTCGACCTTTCAGACCGTCTGTCCTCACCACTGTGGAGCATGTGGACAAACAGGAAATACTTTTAAGCTTCTGTTTCGACTTGGGGGTTTTTTTGAAGACGATTTCACCCCCAATGTCACATATGAAAGGTGGTTTCAAGGTGTATCTGTTTACCTTCTTTAACCATTCCCACTGCAAGGCACTTCTGGAAGCGGCAATATTGGCATCGGTTCCTCCTGCGTTTGTCCACCGGGCAGCTTTTGGCAGCCAAACACACGTATTTGGCATTTTTTTGCACTGTGCGCTGCGTGAAGACAAAAAGAAATGGAGATATTGTTCAGTTTACAAAGTAAAAAAAAAAAATACAATAAATGCACTTAAATTAAATAGATGTTCACTCAGCTGAGACTATAGATAATATTTAATTTTAAATTAAATGACAGGTTTAAATTCAGCTTTGAACCTCAATCCAGTCATCCACAACAAAGAACCTTTTCTGCACATGTTCTGTGGTACCAGTTCAAAAGCCAATACATCACAATATTGGTCTCTGTGGAACCAATATCCTGGTGTAGAACTATTCTGAAAGGGTTCTCTAAATGGCAAAAAATTAGATTTTCTAGAAGCATTTAGAAGCATGTCAATTATTATCTCATCTATTTGCACTGGGAACCTTTTTGGGGTTTAGTCCTTCAATGGTCCATATTAAAGAAAACAACAAGAGGAACCATAAAGAACAGTAACTTTCCCATTTGTGCAACAATAATGTCACAAATAAACCTATTTGAGTGATTCTTTAAAAATTGCTCCACATGCATAGCCAGCAAAGGGTCCTTTGAAAATTAACAGCAGCACTCTTGCTCCTGTGGGCCATCTGAGGCAGTATAAGGCATTCAGCAGGCCGACAGGGCAGTCTGGGTAAACACAGGATCGTGGTCATTCATAATTTGGAGAATCGCCCCCGGGAATCTCCCTCAGAGAGGAGAAGGGGGAGGTTTTTATTCATGGCACGTTGGTGACCATTTTCATACAGGACAGTTGGCCCTAAAAACGTACGTGTCAAGGGATCAAAACGTGCATCTGAAGTATAATGTCCAATTTATGAGGCCAGTCAGGAGTCCCAGTGGGATTTTTACATTATAACCTATTACTCAAAATGAGGGTTTCATTAGGCGACGGTGGGGCCATGTGGAAAAAGAGAATATGTTAGAAAAGATGATATTTTCACATTTTACTTTTCATGAAAGCGGGGTCGGATACATTCATTTTGACAGAAATTTGCTGCCTTACAACTCCCTTTAAACTTTTTAGCGTCTGCATCATGTCCATCAGCTGCCTGCAAACTCCCCCGTTTTTCATGCAGCTTAAAATAAAGTTGCGCTGAGAACAAACCTTGAAGAAACCCTTGCAGCCCTCGCAGGTGCGCACTCCGTAGTGCTGGCAGGCTGCGTTATCCCCGCACACCGCGCACAGCCCCTCCGTGCTCATTGGTCCTCGGCTGGGGCCAGAAGAAGTCTGGTAGTCCATAAAGTGGTGACTGTGGGCGAGCTGGAGCGGGTGAGGAAATCCCACACCGGGCTGCTTTCCCAGCCCGGCGGAACCCAAAACCCCGGGAGTGTCCAGCGGCTGGTGCGCTCCGGCTGCGTCCAGGTGCATGGACACGTGGAGAGATCGGTCAAATTTCATCTGGCAGGTGGACAAGCTCTGACCGCTGTGCTGCGCGTGTTTGAGAGAAAACAGAGAAAATCTGGATAGTGCGCTTTTCCTGTGCGCCGCCGCCAAATAGTCTTGTCGGAAACTGTACAGAGAGCCGGAGTCATCCCAGATGTGTCCCGGCGGCGTTTGGAAGCTGGACGCGATAGGGGTGTGCGGTGAGGGAGGGCGGTAATAATAAACGGATCCCGGGGAGGCGAGCAGCTCGTCGGACTGGTGTGAGGGATGTTGATTCGGCTGATACCGCGGACACCCGTGCGCATCCTCCACCTTGACGCACGGAAGCTCCCCCTGAACTGACATCTGGAAGAGGCACGGGGGCTTCACGTCGTACCCGGAGCTGTAAGAGTCCGGCAGAGGGCCAAAAGTAGGGCCCGACGTTGCAGCAGAGATTTCACTGTTAGTAAGGTCCATGCTGAACTTGACAAACTCCGGGGTGAGAAAGTCGCAGCTGCGCTCTCCGCCGCCGCTCTGGGAAGCCGGGCTGGCTCCTTGTGGAGAGGATCCGCACTGGGTCTGGACACACGGCATGGTCACTGCGAACATGGACATAATGCACTCAGTATGAAGGAGACAAAGCGTGCAAAGGAATATCTTGCAAGTTGATAGATTGGTGAAATGCATTGCTTTATTTTACTTATTTTACTTTAACAAAAATTTAAATATTAAAAACTATTAAACTAATTAAAAAATATAATGAGATGAAGTAGTTTCTATTCTATTTTTAAAATGTTTTTCTTTATCATTTTACCAAGAAATTATTATTAAAAGTCAATTTAAAACAAGTTGTGCAACCTGTTAGGCACTTGTTGAGACAAAGACATGACCATGTTGAATTGTCTTAACGACTTATTTTGCAGCATGAAACTGGGATGCATAAAGACCTGAATTGAATGGATTATTACCTTAAGGCTTAAGTTGTCTTATTTTTCAGAGGATGTTATTTCCCGCTAGAATTTTTTCTAGTATGAAAAAACAAACAAACATCAGAGCATCACTTACAAGCTTTCCATTGACATGAAGCTCTCCAGTTCTCCATAAATTAGTAGAGAAAAAGTCAAATATGAAATACCTCAAAGCTCCATCCAGTGCAGAAGAAGAGTGATAAATAATCCCATCTCTGCTGCAGTGTTGCTTGTGGATCTCTCAAAGCTTTAGCTGAGACCAGAAAAGTCCACTCGCTGTCTGGAGAGCAAAGGAAATGACCACTCTCCCACTCTTGGCTCACAGACTGACTGCCAGTGACACCGACAATGTGCTTTTGTTTACGTGGTGCGCACCCTGTGCCAAACCCTATTACGCACAAGCCACTGAGGGGTGGAGTGGTGTGTGTGTATGTCCCTGTGCGAATGTGTGTGGGAGCCTTTGACTAGTGTGGGCACAGAAAGTGGCTCATGCAATTTGGAAATAATGCTTGTGGCCCACTTTGTTGCACTCTGCGTCATATTTTAGGTATTTTATTGTTACTTGATAAACTATTGGACCTGTGACCGTTATGTGCAGATGTATTTTAGTAGCCTATAAAGTTTCAAGGTGCAGTCATTTACTGATAAGAGTGTTCTTCAAGCTGTTCTTTAATCTGTGTCATTTTGCAAATTTTCACACTTATTTAGTATGAAATATTAAAATGTCAGTTTATTTATCTGCTGCAGGATTTAATGTTTTGCTTTTCCCCATGCTTTCAGTGCTGGAAGATGGATTATGCGACAATGGGCCCCTGGGCATAGCCATGTAAAAGGCCCCCCACATCTATTAAATAGGAGAAAGACCCCCCCCCCCAGACTGATAGAGACCACACATTTGTTTTGCGTCTTTTTGTGGTCTTTCTTGTCTTTTGTGTCTTAGTCGTTTTGTATTTCCTCACAATCATTTTGTGCCTCTGCAGTTCTACATCTTTCAATGGTTGTTTTACCTCTGTGTGGTTATTTTGCATCTCTGTGTGGTTGTTTCGTATGTATTATGGTCATTGTTCATCTCTTTGATATTGTTTTGTGTTTTTGTGGTTATTTTGTGTCTCTTTGTGGTTTGTTTTGCATCTCTTTTGGGTCAAATTGAGTTTTTGTGGTCATTTTGTGTTCGTTTCGTGTGTCTTTGTAGTAATTGTGCATCTCTTCATGGTCGTTTTGTGTTTTTGTGGTCATTTCACATCTCTTTGTGGTTGTTCTGCATCTCTGTGCAATTATTTGCATAACTTTGTAGTTTTCTTAAGGCTTTTTGTAGTTCTTTGAGCAGTTTTATGTTTTGCAGGTGAATCCCAGGAGCCCCTGCGCTTTTGCCCGGTACGCGCGTTCTATCCATCTATCTATTGCTGAAAGACGGATAAAACGACAGCTGGTGGCACTTCTCAGTCTTTCTCATTATCCTGAAGGAAGAGGAGGATGGAGGAGACTAGTGTTGTGCAACCTTGCCTTAGCCTTACGTCAACAACTTGGCGCCGCCTCAGCTCGAACACGATTGGACGAGTTTAACCGTGCGCAGCGTTCTGATTGGCTCTTCGCGGCGTCACTCTACGCGGCTCTGTTTCCTGGTTGTAGCTGTCAAACACAGGCAACGGCTCAGATAACAACCGATGTCCTCAGTCGCCGCCCTGCATCGCTCCGAGCGAGGTTTATTCAGCCACAAAACAAGAAATCCTGTAAGTGGGAATGTCTGTTGTATCACCCTTTGTTTTTTTGGAGTTTTTAAAACCCATGTTAGGAATATTTAACCCTGTGTTTTTTGGCAGAGAGCCAAAAAAAGCGGAGCAACATCTGCAAGTTTCTCCTTGTTAGTGTCAGTGATATAATAACCTCTTCTCCTCAGTCATTGCGAAGGACACGCCAAGTTAATGTGTATGATTTTATTTATTTAAAATGGTGAAAACAGTCAAATGATCCCTGTAACGTTGGCCCTTGCTCTCGTCTTTTTATAACGTAAAGAGCTTATTCGTGACTGTTAAGACGAAGCTCGTTGTTGGTTTTCCTCAAAGACCAAACTGAGCTGACATTTTAATCCACAGCAAGATGTCAGTTTAAAATACCAGCGACTTCCTCTTGTGTAGTGATAGACAACGGAGCAATACAGCAATACATGGACCTGGCATCATAAACCCATGTGACGTTAATACCGCCTGTTGTTAAATGTCTGTTACATCAACATTACAAACAGGGCTCCCGATCTGCATCAGGAAATACATTTTAAAAAGGAAAAAATTCAAAGGAGCTTCACCATGTGTTTCTACGAAAACCAGCCTACATAAAAGGCAGGAACCCCCCCCCCTCCTTCCTCCTTCTCTCCTCTGCTGACTCATAATGAGACTGCAGGCCGATGTAAGTGAAATCACTTTGGGTTGTTATTTCCCAGTGTGTGAATGAGGAGGAGGGTGTCCCAGCATCACCATCAGGAGGAAGAGTGACACTTTTTGGTTATGTCAGTCCTTTTATTAGTGCTTCAATGTCACTCATAACAATTAGACAGTCCTGTGGCTCAGTCGGCTAAACTACACCCATCAGCAAAGTCCTGTCAGAAGGGTTCCTCAGGGCTAATTATTGTCATATTTGGCCTTTATAGTGTTCAGTAATGAGCAGCCTGTGAAAGGGTGTGAAGGCCCATGGTATGCCAGTGAGTGTTGGAGTGCAATACACAATGCAGGGGCTGGGTATGGGTTGAAACAGTTCAATTATAGTGCTGAGTATGCCAAAAGTAAACTAGAAATGTAAATAAAAAGCTCTTTTCATTTAACAATAGATGTTGTTTTTGCCTGAATATAACAGTCTAAAACTAGGGCTTTGTATTGAGCCTTTGTTACTGATGGAAATTTGTAATGCGTTGTATTGAAAACATTTAAACATAAGTAACCTTGTTTACTTAATCTTTGATTTGATATTTCCTAATTTGAATGACAAATGTAGCCAATTTTATACTGTTTAGTATAAAGTACTTGTTTATTATTACTTAGAATGAGTAATGTACTTAAGGATGCAACTAATCATTATCCTAGACTAAAACAATTTAGATTTGAACCAGGAACTAACTAGTCACAGAATAAATAAACAAGATTACAACTCTTACCAAATATTTAGGTTCAGCTTTTGGCACTTGACAGTTGTTTACAGCGTGTGCCGTGGTCACATTTTGGTTGCTCACAACAAACTCACTGAGGTTTGATATTTAGTGCTGGCAGAAGGGAATATTTCATATTACTAACCCATATTTTGATTTGATTATTTCTAATTGAGGTCTTTACTCTTCTTAGTCAGAATAGAGTAGCTCCTGAAACACATTTTCAACCATAAAGGGACATGAAAGCTCTTCTAGAAACCTTTTGTCACAGTTGCACTGAGAGAGAGAGAGAGAGAGAGAGAGAGAGAGAGAGAGAGAGAGAGAGAGAGAGCTATAATTATTTGAGTCCTATGGTTATATACTGTAGCTCACAGCTTTAGCACCTAACATATCCAGTTGTGCCACAATAGCAGTGCACTTTCAGGTCTGTGGAGAGTTTGCTTAAACGTCTTTACAACAAGCAATAAAAGAGAGAGTTTTTGCTAAACCGAGATAAGTAAATGTTTGCTTTTGGAGCGGCTTGCACAGTCATCGACCCACAATCCTAATGTACATTTTTTCTTTGTCATTTGGTCAGACTTTGTCTATTTTATGGTAATTTTAAGGCATATGATTGTTGCAGTTTAAGAGTTGTATAAAGTGACAAACAACAATTTATAATTTGGCCAAAAGTTGGCAGTAGGAATATGATGCTGATTTTTGGTGCTAATATTGGCTGACGCAATAGCATCCTACTTGTAATAGGTCATTTGTTAGACCAAACTGGTTATTGACATTTGTGCCATCTGTAGCCGTGTTTTATTAAAATGCATTAGAATCTGCTTTGGCGTATCCCACTCCCTGGAAACCTTTAGTCAAAGTGCATTACGGTGGGAATGCAAATACTTTTTTGGGCCGCCCCTGGTGGGAATTGAAGCCCTCCATCCCGCCAGGCCGGTCTGGTATCATGTTCTGCTCATTATGGAACACAGGGTCATTAAGAAAATGTGGAAACAGTATCCTAGCAGTTGCTTAATACTAAACTGAAAACATGTTATTATATTATTTTTTAATCTTCATTTCAGACAAGATATGGGTGATACTGCATTTTGCCCTTTTAATATAATTCGCCTACTTGGAAACCTCTCCAAAGAATGTGAAGACACAATTTTTATAATAATATTGAGAAAGAATCCGTATGACTGTAGTAACTGTGTATAATGTTGATTGGTCACATCAGGCCTAAACCAGCTTCATAAGGTCAGTATTGGCCCTGATACCAATCCAGCAGGTTGGATCGATGCAGGTCTAATCTTTTATTTTCTTAAGTTTCCTGTTTTACAGCAACTATGAAAACCAAATATTTTGTGCATAATTAGATATTTATCACAATATGCATGCATTGCACACATCAGTTAATTATCAAAGCATAGTGAATTTTATTATTGATTAACATGGCAGTTAGTGTTATCAATTAATCAATTTGTCTGATCATGTAGTGTTTTAAATGTCAGAAATAATAACAAATGATCATCACAGGCTACCAGAGGGGATGTGGTGTCCTTTAGGTTCTTCTTTAGTCTGACAAATTGTTAAAAAAGTGTCAACTTTATAATGATGGGACACAAAAACTTTGAAATTATTTTGCAAGAAAATATACCAAACATTTAATGGTTCACTGAGTTTCTCTGAGTAATGAAAGTTTCTCTTCTTAATTTGTGTCACAGGTGATATGAGCAGGTGGTATAAACAGACATCAGCACACACTGACAGCATTCCTCAACCTCTCCACTTCTTCTTCACGTGAACTTTTGTCCTGGTGTTGCAGTTCACCCCCCCCCCCCCTGCAGGCAGTGCTCCCTCCCATCAGCTTGCATGCCCCCTACACATGATCACCTGCCGTGTCACAGCCTTATAACCCGGGTATCCCTGCTCTTTCTCCTCACTGCACTTTACTTTCTCTGCAGGGCCAATGGCGTTCAGGAAGGCTCTGAAGAAAACGGCGATCATAGGGGGCGGGGCGGTCGCCACGGTTTTTGGCCTCTCACACCTAATAGAGTACAGGAAGACGCAGGTCAGTTGATGAAAGATGTGACCTCTTGAGTTTGTGTGCCGTTTTAAGAGTCATTCCAGCAAATGTTTGCTTCGTTTCTTGTTGTATGAATCCAGTTTGAATAGTGGCCTCCTGTATATGTTCCTTCAGACAGCCGTTAAACTCAAAGACAGACTTTGTATACCTGTAGATTATGGGCATGAATAGTCTTCTGCAAATTTGTAGGGAGGGGCTGCTTTTCAGGGCATGTCCTATCTAGATTTTGGAATGTGTTTGCCTTTTGCAGGAGGCACCAGTTGACTTGAAAGCCTGCACTGGATTGTAAACGGCTTAGTACCAGCAGCTTTTTTCCATTGTCGTTAAACACATCCACACACACCCAAATGTTTCTCTTCTACTTAAAGGTGTGATATGTGAAATGTCTTATATTAACTGGGGAACTGAGGATCTTGAGCTTGTTCTGTCACCAGTGTTAGACATAGATATGTTGAAACTCCTCCTACATCATTTTGTAGATAAATATGTGTATGGTAAATTTGAAGCTATGCAGGCGGCTAACTTAGCTTAGCATAGAGACTGCAGCTATCCTGGCACTGATATAAGGTGACAAAATCGTCCTACCAGCATCTGGATGTTAATGGTAGCTTCATTTATACTGTAAATACATGAGTTCTGTCAATCTTCTCATTTAACTCTCAACAAGAATTCAAACAAGTTTCTCTCACAGGTTGGTTTCCTTGCCAACACAGACACACGTCACCTAGCTCTAAGCCAAATTCATTTTGTCTGTTAAACTGTGTAGTGAACACTGAGACCACTGTTCCTGAACTCTGACCTTATACAAAATTCATATCCGAACCTTAAATAAATATGTCACTTTTTATTTGGTTCATCCATTCATCCATTCAACCATTCACTCACCCATTTTCTGCTGCTTTTCCAGTTCCTTAATTAATGATTCATTAAGGATATTGCACACAGCTTATTTAAAATAAAAGTCAATAAATTCATGCATTTTTTATATTTAACTTTGGTCAGTATGATTGTGAAGTAGATATCAAATCACATTCTATGTGGTATTGACAAGGTCTTTAAAGTCAGTGTAACTTGGTAAACCCTGTAAATACCTGTATATTACAGGTTTTGTGCCACATTGACACTTTTAAACTCTTTCACTCTTAAACAACCAGAGTATTCAGATGGAGCACATCTCCAAGTAATGACAGCGTATGTGGACGACACCAAAATCCTGAGGAATGACAAAAATTCAGACAGTTAGAGAACAACAGACAAAGTTTTACTGGTAGTCGAGGTCTGATGTTAGCGTCTCGCCTCATGACTGGTGACACTGGGAGCACTGGTCTTGAAAGACACTGGTGTTTGTCTTATTGTCAAGCCTCAAAACTCGTCTTCACGAACACATAAGTAACTACACGTCTTGGCTTCATTTGAGATGGACAAGCAGCTGTGTTTCCTCCTGACCTCTGACCTGACGTAGGCCTATTTTAGGCATGCCGCACCACTACATACCAGACTTTATGTGACTGTACAACCTAATGTGAACTCTGCTTTGTGTCCCGGCCCGATATTGTCTTCTCTTGCCCATCGTCGTCCTCTCAACCAAGCATGGATTGGTAAGCAAGAAGTCGACCCTGATGAAATATAATTATTTTCACAATAGTTTGTAATCATGCATGCGTCTAATCCCAGTAATTGCAATGCTGATGAGAAGAATGTCCATCTTGTCTCCTTTAGCAAGGGCATATGGGTTGGAGAAGATTTCAAGGCAGCGGCCGATTGGCTATTAGCATGGGCTTTGCTGTGCCATTCACTGACTTAACTTGATTACGGGAGGCACGCTGGGTCTTAATTCTGTGGCAGTGTTTGTCTGTACGCATCATCAAAAATAGACAATGATTATATCATCGTCTTGTTTGCGGTTGCAGGCCTAAATTACAAATGCCTGCTACCATTTGCAAGTCAAATGCCACGCTGGCTTCAAAGCAGCTTGATGCAATCATTTAACCTGAGCTGCTAAGTAGAAAAATGAATAAATATTTCATTAGAAGTGAAATCCCACATCCTTGTATCAGAGTGGAGCTGAGTGTTTTTTTTTTTTATTGTAGTTGTGATTATTTCTTTAAATTAATTATTTTGCTAATCAAACAATAGGTGTAAATGATGCTCAAAGACTGGAATTTGATTTATTTGGTGGGTTTTGCAAAGTTAAGCAGCATGTTGCAGCAGGTAGTAACCCTTAGCAAACTTTGCTTTGCTACTAATCACAGCAAGAATATGTTTGTTTTTATTTAACAACACCTCACTTGGAAACTAAAGGTGAAAATGAGACATTATAAGCACATTACAATCTCACTTTCTGCCAAGAAAGCCAGATCAAGTAAAAGTCCTGCGAAATATATTTAAAGTATAAAAACTACAAATTTAGCAGCTGTTATATTGAATATTATATTCCTTTATTATTACTGATCTGTCACTGTGTACGCAGCATTTATCATGTTGTAGCTGTTAGAGTTAAAGCTAGAACTAACTACTGTATTTCTTATTGTTGCTGTCCAATAAAGCAAAAAAAAATTGCTTTGAAGATCAGAAATGTTTGTTTCTATTATGTGTTTACATATTAAAATTCAGCCAATTAGAAATTAGTAATATCATGACATCATTCTGTCCAAATCATAACAGCCATGATAACTGAGATCATGTCTCCACTTGTGAGTGATGCATCACTCCCATCATTATAACAGTAATAATTGCATTTCTAGTCATCATGCTTCTGTACATATATTACGTTCCATCCATTACAGCACAATAATGCATATTATATGGAAGCATACAACCTATGTCATCACGCAGTCACACCAAATCCATAATGTATGAAAATGATTGCAAGTCATTATATCACGTTTTTTTTACGAGGTGATTATAATGCAAGAATAATGCATAAACACATTACACTGTGAATGTGTATGCAGTGTGCTTATAATGTTTCAAAATGCACCTCAAGGAAAGTGTTGCTATATTTGTTTTAAAGAATTTAAAATAGAGTTTAACATAGAGTTTAACATAGAAACCTATTTCACACAATTTAGGGAATTCAAAGTCATGAAAACTACTCATTGTGTTTGTGTTGGTGTGTGTGTGTGTGTGTGTGTGTGTGTGTGTGTGTGTGTGTGTGTGGGGGTGTGTGTGTCTGTGTCACATCCAGGCTCAATTAGCCCACGTGGCAGCAGAGGCAGAGCTGAAGGTTCCATATGCGGACGAGCTTCCGTCCCGGCAGGCCCAGCTCACGGCGCTGAAAACCACGGAGGAGTTTGACGTTCTGGTTGTTGGAGGAGGGGCCACGGGTGCAGGATGTGCCTTAGACGCTGTCACACGCAGTAAGCTCACTGTCAACAGCTCCTATCTGCTTTCAAGTACATCAATCCCCTGGGATGTAACAGGTTTCAAGCTCTGTAATTGTCCTTATTGGGTTATGATTGAAGGAGGGGAAACGCCTCATAGGCTGGTAACAGTTTATAATGTTGTATAATGGTCTCGCTCTTAGCTGGTACTAAAAATACCCTTTAAGAAATTAGGTCAATTATACTCAAGTTAATTGTTATTATTCAGCAAATATCTGAGGTCCAAATTAATAATTAAATACTCTGTTTGGTTGCATAGGAGTGGACCACAGTTAATTGCTTTTACGTGATTTTACTTTTGATTTTACATAGTCATATAAAGCATCATGGGACGGCATCCTTATTGTGATTACACCCTCAACAGTATTGTAGCTCTGAGTGATAAAAATACACTCATCTAGGTTACCTTCAAAGCACAGTGAGCAGCTGTGTGTGGACTCTTTTGCATCAGGTTTCCCCTCTCAGGCTACTTTAATTCCTCCCTAACCATCTGACTGGTGCAGGGAGCTGCGGCTACTGGGCAGGAAAAGTACCCCCTCCCCCCTGTGTTGAGGTTGAAATTTACATATTATAAATTTTAAATTTGCAGGCGCCCATTGTACATTTTTCTTAATTTATTTTTTGTGTTTTGTTGTTTAAGACAAATAGAGCATCACTATATCACCGCCTCAGCTCTTTTTCAGTGAAACTAAATGTAATTTTCAGTCACTTATGGAAGCTGTATCGACCAGTTTCATTATAATAAGTTAATTGCACGGTTGATATAAATAAATGTCCTGCAGGAGAGTTTATTATATTTTTGTCTGGTGTGCCACACTTCTGACACTGAAGGCTTTTAAGACGCATTAGTATAGTGTAGTATTAAACTATACAAGTGTATTAGTAAGTGGTTAAGTGACTCATCATGTATGATTTTCCTCAGACCTCAAGACTGCCCTCGTAGAGAGAAGCGACTTCTCTTCGGGGACAAGCAGCCGGAGCACCAAGCTAATCCACGGTGGAGTCCGCTATCTTCAGAAGGCCATCATGCAGCTGGACTACGAACAGGTTCCTCTTCATCTTTTTACTCTTCGTCTTCATCTCAACGTGTCGCTGTTCTTCCTCCCATCATCTTGTTGCTCTCATTCTCCGTCTGAAACAGTACATGATGGTGAAAGAGGCCCTCCACGAGCGAGCCAACCTCTTGGAAATTGCGCCGCACTTATCCGCGCCGCTACCCATCATGCTTCCTGTTTACAAGTAAGTGACAGACAGAAAGATGCCACGAGAGCACGGGCAGCACAAACACACAGATAATTGTCCTGTTAGCGTAAAGCTTTTCACTGAAGAAGATTTAAGTGCCATTTCATTTCTGTTTGTTGTGGCTTTTGATGACTTAAAATTATAATGTATTTCAGTTTATATCTGATTTTAATGACTGTGTTAATTACCAAGATGGTGGCAGCTGCCTTACTACTGGGCAGGGATCAAGATGTACGACCTGGTGGCTGGGATTCAGTGCCTGAAAAGCAGCTACGTCCTCAGTAAGACCAAGGCCTTGGAGCTGTTCCCCATGCTGAAGAAGGACAAGCTGGTGGGAGCGATCGTCTACTACGACGGTGAGTCAGTGCTCCCTCGTTTAACACCCGCTTTGCTTGAATCTGGATGTTTTCACATAGACTCCACCATGTGTGGACACTAATCTCTTTCTTTGTGGATTCATTACTTTTCTCTTTATTTTCTGTAAACATGAACAAAGCAGCTGAGTCAGTCTTTCTGTTTTCCCTTCTTGTTCCTAAGTACAGGCTTTGAATTAAATCAGCCAGTGATGGATTGATGAAAGTGACAATGAACCATGAGAGCATAATGGTTTAAAGTAGAGCTGTGTAAGGGGAAGGAGCCTCTCTGTGCTGAGTAAATGTAATGACATAAACGGTCTTGAAAACCCTGTGAAAACATGGTTTTAAAATGCCTCAACGTCCCTGTGAAAATATGACTTTTTGAATTTTTTGAAAATATGCCATTCCTGTAACGCAGACTCAAGGCCTCCTAAAGGGTGTCACAAGACAGAGCCGAGGGTCAGGAGATGTTTAAAGACATAGAAGATAATCAAAAACAATACTTTGTTTTAAACCTTAAATATTGACTCATGATATTTTCAGAAAATTCAGTTGTCTGTTTTTCCATAGCTCAACCTGTACTCAATTTATTTGCTGAGCTAAACACGGTGTGGTCTCTCTTTTGTGGGAAAACTTGTTGTTGTAGTTTGACAATTGCACAATTAGCATCAACAAAGCATCGCACAGCCTGTACAGCAATGCAAAATTAAAAGAGCCTGTGTCTGAATAAGTTGTCATATTATAGAAATAGTGCAGGAATTGTGTGATTAAACCAAACAGGAGATTAAAGATTCTCTGTTAGAACAGGCCTCAGATGTAAATCCCGCCTGTGGCGTTCTCATGTCCACTGGTCCCTGGCGAAATGTGTTGACAGGCTGGTAGGATGCCCTCTCCTCCCTGTGGCAGTAAAGGTTGCGTGTTCCCTGGATGGGCGCGGAGGAGAGCCAAACATATGCTGAGTGTCCAGCTGAGCGTGAGGAGATTCATGCCTCCGGGCATTGTTTCCTTTCCGCCACTGAAAATAACAACTTTGTGTCTGCGGGTGATGGGTCTGTTACTGTAGGCTTCACTGAGTAGCAGCTCGTCCTGTCCAATCACAACAGGTAGCTGTTTTATTGTTAGATCTGATGCTTTTAATTACTCTTATTTATGGTTTTCAGCAGTTTGGCAAAATGTTACAGCACATTAAATATGAAGTTTCATTTTTAAAACCAAAACAAACGTCCTTTTTCTCTCCAAATTATATTTTATAACTGGATTTACTGCAGCCTGGAAAAAGGAAAGAGCATTTTCTTGGTGCAAAGCAGCATATGTTTGATTTCCACCTCCTCCTCCTCCTCCTCCTCCTCCCACTCCCCACCATCATCTGCTCTGAGGGGGGACAGGGCCGGGATGGTGCAGGGGTGGGGCGTCTTTTCTCCAATTACGCCGTCTGGAACAATCACGCCCGTGACATTTCGAAATCTGACCTTCTCTCCCGGCGGTGTAAAGCGCAGAGGAGCGACGCCGTCGTCGGTCGGACCAGCTGAGCAACAGCTATTTCTCCCGCTGTCTTGGTTACCGCCGCTCCTGCTGCCACCAACAACAGCAGAGACTCTTTTTATTCTCACAAACACAGGACAGCGTATGTGTGGGCCTAATCCTCTCGTTTTGAATAAGCTGGGTGCTATATTTGTTTATATGCTCCCAGCCCTCTGGAAAATGCATCTACAGTGGTTTGTTACCAGTGCCCCCCCCCCCCCCCCCATGTATATAAATAGGAAGGACAAAAAGTGAGAAGTGCTTTATTATAATGTAATCCAGTACCACCTTTAACATGCATGTTGAACAAAGGTATTTGGCATGAAATAGGAAATAAATACAGTGTTAAAATATTTAATTACTTCATACTAAGAGATTCATCACCTGTAGTAAAATGAGTCGTGCATATTTGATACTTGAATAAAGTGCCTGCTGTATATCTGTCATTTTAAAGTGATCCTGGCTTCCTGTATCGTCGGCCCAGTGTTGTTTGAGTTTACCTTTGCTTTTGTCTAACAGAAAATGGTTTAGGAAACAAAGCTTGTTTTTACTTTTGCACACATTTTAAGTCAGTCTGGGTAAGAAATCCGGCTCACGGAAACTGTCTGTAAACACAACACCCTGCAGACAATAAGCACACACAACGCTGGTGGAGGATTAGAAAAATAGGTTGTACAATAGGAGACAGATTCCTTACAGGAGCCAGAAGGAAGAAAAACAAAATCTCCCTTTCTGGAGGTTTTCAGAGACAATAGACGAGAACACGATTGGCCACAACTATAACAAAGTGAAAAAATGATTAAACAAATTATCTTATTAATTTTACTTTCAATATGGCTAAAACCCTCTCTCTCTCTCTCTCTCTCTCTCTCTCTCTCTCTCTCTCTCTCTCACTTCTTCTCTGTCCCCCGCAGGCCAGCACAATGACGCGCGAATGAACCTCGCCATCGCCGTCACCGCCGCCCGCTACGGCGCCGCCATCGCCAACTACACTGAGGTGGTGCACCTGCTGAAGACAAAAGACCCGCAGACGGGCAAGGAGAAGGTGTGTGGCGCCCGCTGCCGGGACGTCATCACAGGTGAGGCGCGCAGTCTTTGCGCAATTTTTAAATGTCCTAATGCTCTAAAGTTTGGTTTTATTTTCATATAAAATATAAATTCATATAAAAGCGTCCTTGAGTCCTTGAGTCCTCTCCAGTCATCAGAGAGACTGGAGAATCCACTTTGAAGTGTGATTAGGTCAGACTTGAAAGGTCAATAGATATCATTAAAGAGTTAAAGAGAAGTCTGACTGGCTGTCATTTCAAAGGGGGTGAAATGATGTGACACAGACACACAAGGGGTGAAATAATTAATTAAGTACGTTTCAAATGTTACTGTGTCGCATGGAAATGATATGAAGGAAAAAGTCCTCTTGCTTCAAATGTTTCAGGTAACACATTTGGCTTCTTCTTCTGAGTGTTAAATGTAAACTGTAAGATACTTTTCTGTTTGACTGAGATCTATTTTTCACTGGAACACCAAACACACTTGACTCCTCCCTCTCTGTAACAGGACAGGAGTTTGACGTGAAGGCCAAGTGTGTGATCAACGCCACCGGACCCTTCACAGACTCACTGAGGAAGATGGACAACCAGGAAACCTCAAACATCTGCCAACCCAGCGCCGGTGTTCACATCGTTATGCCAGGTTACTACAGGTACGACACAACGCCGTCACACAGTCCCTGCTTTCCAACTTACATTTACTCCTGCTATTTCAAATGCATGAACTTGTAAATATTTATTCCTCTGTGTTTTCTCATCCCTCTTTGTAAATACTAATCTGGCTAAACTATCATCTGACCTATACCTACATGCATAAGACACTCTTCCCTGGTTAAGACACAGCAGAGCAGTAGAGTGGTTTTGTTGAAGTCGGGGGTTTTAAAGTTCATCGAAGCTTATTGAGCGAAACCCGAGGGAGCGCGAGCCCTTTGAACAGCGGCAGAAATGCCAACCACCTAATTCTCTTCCTTCCTTTCTCTCGTATTCCTCCTGCGCGCTATCTGGCCACCAGCCCCCCCCGCCTTTTCTCTTATTTTCTTCCTCTCTAACTCCTCACCTCCTCATTTGTTCTCCACCTTTTTCTTTTTTCAGCTCTTCCTCCTCCTCCTAACTCTTGATTCTTCTCTCAGACACAAATGCAGTAAATTAGACAGGAAAATAAAATCATCATAGCAGCCACACTCATGAGACAGTAACAATAATAAAGTATTTGTTTTATTAATGAATCCTCTTTTTGTTGTTTCTGTTCCACAGTCCTGACAACATGGGGCTGCTCGACCCGGCCACAAGCGACGGACGTGTCATCTTCTTCCTGCCCTGGGAGAAGATGACCATCGCCGGCACGACAGACACCCCCACCAGCGTCACGGCTCACCCGATCCCGGGGGAGGACGACATCAACTTCATCCTGAGGGAGGTTCGGAACTACCTCAGCGCTGACGTGGAAGGTACAGGAGTTTTCTCTTGTGTGTTTTGAAGAGCACGCTGTCTAACTGACTCCATTACCCAGACATCACCTGGCCGGTTCAAGTTTCTTATGGTTGCTGTTGCCATAGTGACAGTAGACACCCATGCTAACTGCTCCCTACGGTCCTGAAACACGTTTCACTGGATGGTTTTTGTATGTTTTGAGAAATATGCAGAACAGCAATTCAAAAAGCAAACATGTAGAAAGTTAAACAGAGTTTATTTGTATACCCAAAGATCACATGTGATGTCTCAGTGCTGCTATATGCTCATAACAGTCCCAACCAAACAAGTTCCTAAAGACGAGAAAAAGCTCCTCACAGAAACCTCAGGATATAGTGGAAACATGGAAGGAAACATAGGAAAATGAAGGAGAGATTTGTGTTTTTATTTTATTATTTTTATCA